GAAACAGAGGAAGGGAAGGAGGGGGGAGGAGGTGGGAAGAGGTGGGACGAGAGAGAGCGGAGGTAGGCCGGCTTGTCACAGGATCTTGCTTGGTTTCGGTATAACAGCCTTTTTCTCTATTGTCGTTCTGGTCGAGATGTATAACAGATGAATGGTGAAGTCGGGGTTTAAGTCTTGCTAGCTGGTAGGGTGCAAAATGAGAGGAGGAGATGGTTTCGTGGTTGCGTGCTTGTTTTCTTCATGTAACGTAGCGATATGTCGTTGAGGTGAGACGCTTGACTCAGAAGTTTCGGACAACTCTTCGTGGTACAGAGTAAATTCTTCGCGATCTATGAACAGAGGATGAATATAGGCTAATCGTACTCAAATGGTTGTGTTTGTGGTTGGGGCCGATGCGCTCGATGCGCCCCTCCCACATCGCACGGCCATCAAGTTTCTGTCACCGTGCTCTGCTAAAGCTTGTGAGTTCCATGTTTTTCTGTCTCGCGCACACGTCTTGCTTTGAGAGATTCGATTCGTTTTTCCTGTACGTTCACATTTGCTTGCGATTTTCTTTTTTTCCCAGCTTGCGATTCTTAGTAATGCCTCATATATTGTGTTGTTTTTTCCGAGGGGGAGAATGTCCGTCCGACCCACATTTTCGCCTTTTCTCTTCCGCTTCCCCCCCTCCTTTTCCCTCCTTTTCCCTCCCCGAACCCGTCCCACCAAAACCAGATGAAACTTAAAAATAAGATCGCATTTTTTCTTCTTAGCCGCGCAACTTTGCCCCAAGGTATCCGTATTTTCGTTATGATCATGGGTGATCTGTACTTGGCGATGAGTCTTTTTCTTCCCTTGAATAGATTTTACTTTTGGCCTGGCGGGTGCTTTCGAACGGGGATTGCAATGGGTAGGGGATGCCAGATTTCAGGTTGAACTCATGCATTGCACGTGGAGGCGACTACCGCTTTCCGTGGAGTGTGAAATCAGTGGTCGATCTTCTGTGGCAAGGTACAAGTCGAATCGCAAGGGAAAGATGGCCTTATGAGGGGAAAAGGAGGGGGGCGGATATGCACCTGCAGCTCCATGCATAGGGGTTTTACGTACGCATGGCCGGTGAATCCTCAGTTTGGTTGACAGTGCAAGGGGAAAGAGGCCTTTTGATGAGGGTAAGAAGCTAACATCGACGGGGTGTTTGTTCGGCTCGTATGCTATGTTCTTCCTCCGAACATAATTCCCCATCATCATGACTGTGTTTGGACCGCAATAAAGGTGTGTATACATTCATTAAGATGGTTGGTATGTTCGGGGGAAGGAGCATGGATACGACGATTGTCTTTAAGGGAAGGGGAGGAGAAGGCGGGCGGAAAGAAACAACGCCTTCTCCTGCCTATCGTTTGCGTCTTCAATCGAAGCTTCCTGGAACCACCAGGAGTACCCGCGTTTTGCCTTCAGAGATTGGTAGCGTGACAGGTATATATGCGTCATTTCCAGTAATGACAGGGAGCCCGCTCTTGGAAGGGAACCCAGTCGTCTGGAGGGGCAATTATCATGTGGAGGTGTAACCCTGTTTGTCCGTCCGGAGGGGTAAACCCTGTCGGAGGTGCAATCCCGTTTTGAGGCGGGAGTCCGTCCAGACGGCGAATCCGTGCGGAGACCACACCCCCTTCTTTCCAAAACGATGGTCATTGCCATCATGTAATCCAATGGCCTTTTCTAGTGATTGCTATTTGTTTTGCTGATCGCTGTCTTGGGATTGCTATTTTTTTTGCTGACCGCTGTGCTTTGTTAGACACGGTTCGAGTGTCAATGTGAACGGTTCAAGCAAGTGCAAACGCTTTTGAATGATCGCGTCGAGAGTTGGAATCCTCCTCTGGTCGTCCTGGTTCTTATGGTGTTCGCTGTGCTTGGCAGTTGGCCGTTCCTTGTGCATTTGGCATGTTGGAGGTTGCAGTGGTAGAGTGAGGTAAGGAAAAGCAGATTTGACAGCCGAGAAATGTGATTGATGAAGTGCTCTACTGTTTCTTTTTCTTTCTTTTCTTTTTTTTTGTTACTCTACTGTTTCTCGGTTCGTGTAGTGCTTCACGTTTGCAGTCTTGTCAGCTAGCTCGGTCGACATGAACTTATTTATGATCTTGATGCATGATGCCTGGGTGTATGTGTGACGAAAAGTTTAAGTATAACGTTTTTGCCTGGCTGTACGTGAGTGTACGTGCCTGCCGTTTCCTCAAGCCTTGGTGCGGCCTTAAGATTCATACGGAAAGGCTTACTTCGCTTCTGCCTTGGTGCGGAGTGCAGATTGTATGATAAGGTATGGTGTTAATCTTTCCTGTCAATTATTTTCTCTAATCAGAACACGGACTTCTCTGTCCCTCTGTTCTCAAGCGTGGTGCACTGTGAGAATGATGAACGGGGGACCGATGTAGGGTAAGGTCATGGTGTCAGCCTTTCCAGTTCTTCTGTTGTTTTTTGTTTTTATAATAACAGGTCAAAGCCTTTGATGAGGAAAGAGCTAACACGCGTGCCTTAAGAGGCAGGGCATCCTCTTTTTGGATGGCTTCGGCGCATGCATGGAGGGTTGATTTACGGCACTACTTTTCTAATCAGGACGCAGGCTGATTTCTTCTATGGGGCCTTGGTGCGCCATGCTTCTGGGCAATGTAGTAGGGTAAGGAAGGTCATGACATCAGCCCCTTTCCCTCCCATTACGTCTTCGCTCACATTACTTGCTCTCTTTCGGCTGCTGCTTCAGCGTTGATTTCACAGCCCCTTCAGATTCCGCGTCTCTTCAGTCTGTTCTTGTCTCGTTCCAAATCCCATTTGGTGCGAGACTCCTTCCTCGTTTTCTTCTTCTTTTTTAAGCTTTGACCTGCGTCCGCCGTAGTCTCTGGCTCCTCCTTTGTTTCGTCTTCGGCTTTTAACCCTCGCCCGTCCATTCGTCCTATACCATTGCCACCGTCTTTCCGAAATCTTTGTGGTTTGGTCTCTTCTGCCCCTCTCTTTATCTCTGCTTTACGTCAGCCTTTTAACTCCAGATCTCACCGACCTCTGCTCTCTCTCCTACTCCACGATCTTCTTCTCTCTGTGCCAAAGTATCGTGCCAAACCCTTCTCTCATATCTCCTTCCAACGTCTGCTTGCGTCTCAACTCCCTGTCGTCTCTCGTCTCTGTAGAATCTCTGCTCTGACCGCTCTGCCATCAATCTGCGTCCAATTTTCCCACAGCTCTGTTTTCCTAGGGTAAAACATCTTTACATGTGGGTTATATGACAGAGATTCTGTAAGTACTCGCTATTTGTAAAAGAATATCAAGAAAAATAATGCAAAAAAAGATGAACGCGACTCTCGAAATGAATAGAGAAGCCAAGAAAACATTTAGCTATGTCTCGAAAAAGAAAGTGCCTATAATGAGTTTGAACTGAAATCTACGGTGTACATGTTGCCAGCCCGTGAGATGTCTATAGAAACGTAGAACATGAAGTGAGTACAAAGGAAAACGTTTGCCTTTTAACAAAGGGAAGGATACACAGGAAAAAAATGAAAGGGTTAAAGAAGGAGAGAAAAAGAAGAGAG